TCAAATAGTTAATTTGATACTAATATCGATATATTTTTGTCAAATTTTTATGATATCTTCAAACATATATTTTATTCAAAAATAAAAACATCATCGTTTTCTCAAAAATCACATAAAGTCATATTATAACATCGATTGAGATAAAAAATAAAATGAAATCTTAAAATCATGATGTATCTCGCTGCATTGCGCGAGTATGCTTCTAGTCATATTATAGTGTATATATATATATATATATATATATAAAATCATAATTAAATCCTTACAAATTTAATTATAAGAGAAAAAATAAATTAGTGGGTCCCATTGACCTCCCCATGATGAGTACAATGGCCATTAACCTTTATTCCATTAACCTCCATTCACAATGCATGACACATGTAATTGCTCTCATTAACCATGCTCTTATATCATTTACATGGTTGCACATATTTCTTCCAAACAACTTCTATATTTCCATTTTGCCCCTTAACTTCTTGTGTTTCTCCATTATGGCCCATTTAAATGCTTGGTTTTCTCATTCTTCTTGTTACGTATATAACCTTAAATCAGATTTCAATTAAAACCAAAACCTTCTTTACCATGTTAATAAGTCAATAAGGGGTTGTTTGGTAGTTGCTAAATGATTTGATGCAGAATGATTAAGTGATCAGAATGATTAAGGGGATCTCATGATATAATTCAAAATGAAATATAATTGTTTGGTAACTGTTTACAATGAAATTAGAGCGCTGAATGGTTAAGGGAGGCCTATGATACAAAATCATTCAGAGGGTTTTGGAACCATTAAGAGGCAGACTCTTTTTTTGTCAAACAAGATTCACCTCTTAATGATTCAAAGCATGCCTCTTAATGAAACTATTAAGAGGTAAACAAACAACCCCTAAATGATGAATTTAATCAAAAGCTTGTTCAACATTATATACCTAAATGACTCTAGAATTAGAGGCGGACTTAGAATTTTTTTTCAAGTGGTGGCACAATTTGACCATAAGTAACGAAGATAATGATATTTCTCGTAAAATCGTTATTGATCAGTTGGTTAGTTCATTTTTTTTTCCGTATGTGAGGCATTGTGTTCGAATCTTTTATCGTAATTTTTTCAAAAACATAACAAATTTGAAATTAAAAGCTAACATCTTTAGTAACCCTAAAAAAATTTACACTACGGCAGATAAACGATGCAGTGGCCCGTGCCACGTATCCACTAATATGGGTCTGCCCCTTCTTAAAAGGGAGTCTTCTACTCTAAAATTATATTTGATTGTGTGTTTGGTTGGTAGGAATTAGAATTATATCTATTAAAATAATTGAAATCTTTTTGTTTGGTTCCCTAAGTATAACTTTAGAATTATAATAATTTAACGATAAATTACCAAAACGCCATTTCTTAATCTATTTGTTTGGTTCGTTGAATATGATAATGGTGGTGGCAGGTGGCAATAATGTGATGACGGCAACAACAGTGGTAATGGCAGTGGTGGCGGGTGGTGTTGGCGACAACAACGGTAATGGCAGTGGGGTTGAAGGCGGTAGTGGTAATGGTGATGATGTTAGGGATAATGGTGGTGATGACAAGCATCATGGTAGGATGGAATGGGATGAAGTAAATGCAATATCATAATAGTTTTTGTTAAAAAATGAACGAATAAATGGAATTTCAGTTCCTTCAAATTCAGTCAGATTCCAACGAACCAAATGCCACATATCTTTTCAAGAAAGTATCAATAATTATGCTTTTAATGCAACTTTTAAAGCTTGGGTTAAAACCACCATTTTCTACTCCCCAATAATCTCATATAGTAAGGTAAGTGAGAATGATAACCCTTGCTAGCTAAGAGACTGTTTACCAAATTTTTTATTAAGTCATGTATGGATAAATTTGTCTGTCCGGATAAATTTGTCTGTCCGGATAAATAATTGTTGTTGTTTATTTTTTTTATCTGAACAACAGCATGAATAACATAAATGACTGATTTACTCCCCAATATTAATTATTTGAACATCAAAACAAAATCATAAAGAGGCCGACGATGGGGTGTCTCATCTGGGAAGGAGGCGGTGCTTTAAATAAGGGGTAGGGGTGTCTTTTTGTGGCTGAATGGGGACAACACTCCATTTCTATATATGCAATTAAGTCATGTTCTGTGCGAATAAGCCGTAAGTAAACAACCCAAATGAGCTGTACGAATAAGTCAAATAGACCAATAAGCCTAATTAAGCTGCAAGTAAACAACCCTTAAATGTATTTGGCTTGTGTTAGTAAACAATTCTTTAGGCTTGTTCTTAATGTGAAAAATATAAACTAAAAACAAATTGTTTCAAATTTTAGAAGAAAAAACAACTGAGAACCAATTTTCTTAAAAATCCTTAATCTGGATATTTAAGTTAAAACCAATCGAAAAAATAGAATAGAGGACAAAACATAACATAACTGGTTTTGGTATGGTCCTGGTTTGGTTATGCTATTTTCCCATATAAACCGAGTTTTACCCACCCCTATGTTAATAAGACTAAACCTTCAAGTATGGCTATAAACGAGTTAAACTCCATTTGATTAAGGGGGTGTTTGGGATTACTTATAAAAACAACTTATTGACTTATTCCGGTATGACACCGGTAATAAGCACTTTGAGTATTTAGATAAACAGCTTATACCAGTGTCAAACCGGTAATAAAGAGTTTTTTGAAGAAGTTAAACCATTCTAACTTATAATAACTTGATAATTGATAAAGATTTTTGTATAAAAACACAAGTTATTTCAAGTGAGCAATCCCAAACACCCCCTAAAAGATTATTCACTAAATGTTTAATCGGATAAACATTTGATGAATATTACTTATCTTACCAAAACTTTACTCATGGTTCACAATCACATCAATATATATACATATGATAGATCATTTAAAATTTCTCCATATACTCAAAATCTCTGAAAAGATTACATTCATTTCTAACAGATTCTCTATTTTAGATATCATATTTATATATATTATAAAGCATTTGACAAAAACTTTTAAAAACCATCTTTTATGCATTAAAATACTATTTATTCATACATATTACAAGTTCAAGATTAAAAGTAGATTATGCGCAAGTACAACTTATTAAAGTTTCATATTTGAATTCGTGTAACTAACTGCAAATAAATATAATCAAATACATGATAAACACATCATTTTAAATATAAAAAATCTAAAATATAATTAAGATAATCATTGAGTTCTAACAGAATACTTAATTATTATCTTTATAAAAAATTATATCATTAAACTTAAATTAAACTATAATAAAAAAATTGAATTAAAAAAATTACTCAAAATAAGAAATTTTAAGTAGTTAAATTGATAATAATATGCATATATTTTTTCTAAATTTTTATGATATTTTAAACTTTATATTTTATTTAAAAATAAAAATATTATTACTTTCTCAAAACCACAAAAAACCATACATAAATAAAGAATAAAACAACACATTAAAATCGACATGTGTTTCAATGCACATTGCACGAGTACCTTTATAGTATTTAATTATATCATTAAAATATTATTTTTCTCTCTCATGAACATTTAAAATCAAAGTTCCTTGTTGACAAGAATATAATAAAAAATAGTTTATCTCTCACAAAAATTTAACATCAAAGTTTTTTTTATTGACAAGAATATAATAAAAAAAATATTTTTCTTTCATGTTAATATTTTTGGAGAGTTATCAAAATTTAACGACAAGAGTGGTGCTTGATTGGTCAGAAAAGGTCAAAAGTACCAGGGAATTCCAGGTTTAAATTCAAGGAGAAATAAAAATCCTCTTGTGGCCACAGAGGTTTAAATACGTTGACTCCGGGTTATCTACAAAGCAAGTGGTCATCCTTAGATTAGTCGACTAGCATAACACGGATTGAAAATCCAGGTTAATAAAAAAAATCGTTACGATAAATTTTATCCATTTTCTGTATTTAATTTTTTTTTGGACATGTGATTTAATTAATAGGACTAATTTTGTAATTTTGCAGAAAACCAGGGTAAGAAATGTGAAAACAACGGCACACCGATTTTGAGAACCGTCGAGGATAAAAGCCCAAAGATTTCACAACACCTAACTCAGGGTTTGTCTCAAGATTTTCAAATTTCAAGGCTAAATCTCAGGTGCTCATCTCAGATTTCACTTGCTTACTCATCCTAAACCGATCTCAATTTTGTTTTCTACGCTTAATCTTCCATCGTTTTCAATTTGATTTTGTTTTGCTGTGTTTCTTTCTGGTGGTAGTGATCATGGATGGATGGCGAGATCAAGCTGTTAGTTCCAATCAAGAGGTTACAAGAACAAGGTCTAATAGTTACAGAAAGCCTCCTCTCGGTATGATCCTTTTACCGTTTACGTTTTTCTTCAATTTCTTTTTGTAACTACGCTGTCTGCCTATGTATTTTCTTTTTGTTAAAAATTTGTGGATTATTGATCTTTCAGATTAAGCGATTTTGCTACTGAATTTTTTAATCTTCATTCGTTTGCGTGCATTTTGGTGTTGGATTTATGAGGAATCTAAGCAACCGCTAAATTTGCCATTTGTTTCTTTTGCGAGGCAGATGATCTAAGTTTGTTTTTAAAGTAATTGTCTGGATGTTGATTGAGATGGCCATATATTTCCCCTAAATTTACAGGGTATTATATACAATCGGCAATTCTTGTACGATCACCTACCCATTAATAGTGTGCATTTTTTACGACAATCAAAAGGACTTCCTGTGTACCAATCTCCTTGGCTTTATGAGGGTTGAGAAGAGAAATTTTTGCACCCTACACTTCCTTTACATTTTAGAAGGATGTTTCATTCGATTGAATCCATGACTTTGTGGTCACAAATTAACTGTTATTAGTTGCTTCAAGACTTGGTTATATATGCTGATTGTTTTGCAAGAATCTGGTAACCTTTTCGGTACTTAGATATTAATGTTTCCGTGATTTAGGTATAGCAACCTTATTAGTAGTACATGTTTTTTTCTTCTTGTGTTTCTATAAGAATCTGGTAACCTTTTCGGTACTTAGATATTAATGTCTCCGTGATTTAGGTATAGCAACCTTATTAGTAGTACATGTTTTTTTCTTCTTGTGTTTCTATAACTGCATCTATGATCTATGCAATTGATATTGGGTGCCCCATGCATCCATAAATTGGAACTTTTAAAAATGGATGATTAATGTTGTCAAAGAATGTGCAGAAGCCTAAGATACATGATTGATCTGCATCGAAAATAGTATTTATTTTCATTAGTTCTGATTACTGTTATGTGCCCCTTGTTTTTGATGCCTTTTGCTGGGTTAAGCACTTGAATGTGGTTTTCCTTGATCACTGTTCTCTCTCCTAGGTTTCTTAATGCTTCTTTCTGTTTTCACTAATGTTGTTCATTGTCAATTTATCTCTATCAAGTCACTGTTTGAATATTAGGCTTCCTTTGCTGTTCCTTCTATAGGTCTCACTTCATTCATCTTTCATGGTCGTTTTCAGTCTGTACTGGGTAGAACATCATCTGTTTCCACATTATCTTGTGTGTATATGTGTATGTCATAATTTGATGTTTGCTTCGACACTTCTTTTGTCACGTAGCAAGTTTGATTTTCTTTCTTTGTCTGTAATTTTCCTACAACTTTAAGAGAACTATCTCATGCTGTTATATATCCCCATAGTGATGAATTGAGATATAATACCGCTTTTGTTCCATTTCTTGAGACTCTTCTGTTGTTTGTTTGCTTTTTCCGTGAAGAATATTCATCAATCGAAGGTGAAGTGCTAGGAGTTATATGTATAACCAATAGGGGTAGTTGGCACTTAAGTACATTCTTCTGTAGGGAACAGCTAACAAGGTTTAGAGTGGTTGTCTCCTTATGGAAATATGAAACAATACTGGAAATTTGAAATTCCCATCAAGTTTCTTTTGTAAGCAGAAACCTTGGTGGATGCTTTAACCTCTGTAGGGATGCACATTAGAAGTCATGGAAGAAGGCGTAAGAAACACATTAGTAGTTTGTGACGGATGCAGTAAACAGTTGAACCAAAACCATATAGAAATGACCATTAATGGATGGAAATTTGCTGGTGAAGCTATATTGCAAATAATATAATTTTATTGTTGGAGATCCAAATGTGAGTCAGCAGCAAGATCATATATCTAATAAATTTACTACATATGAACCCGAAGGTACAGACAGGTTCATGTTAGCTTACACACATGAGGATGAAACAAATCAGGATATAAGTCGGTCTTAGGGTCTGTTTGGCTCATGCCGAGAAATGAAAATGGGAATGAAAATGACAATGACAGGGAATGAAAATAGGAATAAATTTTCATTCCCCCCAATTTAACCGGGAATGAAATTTTGGGCTTCTGGGGGGAATGAACCCATTATATTATAGAAAACCAAACAGTTTCTTTTATTTTCATTCCCATTGATTACTGCTTAGTACCTCTAACCAAACACCCCCTTACTTTATTAGTTTATTACCAAGAGTAATATAAATATGTAGTAAAGCATGGGTCTCATGAGTGGGGCAAGGAAACGAAAATAATCTAATACCGAAAGTATATGCTAATAACCCTAAATCTAACCCTAATAAACACAAACCTATTATAATTCTAATCTCTTAGCACACCCCATCAAGTAAGAGCGTAGACATGCTATGCTAACTCACTAAACAAGATTTTAATTGGAACCCCTATAAAGAAATCTTATATTATAAATCAAACAAGCTCATTCCTTTGCCATATTCAAATCACACGAAAAAGAAAAAGAAAAAACAAGTGCCGAACAACCTGTAACTCCCTTTGTATTAACAGAATTGGTAGCACAACCCCTCTATAGAATGAAAATAACGAAGTAAAATCAAATTGAAACTACACATCAATAGAGTGAGTCTATAGTTAAGATAGTTAAACCTAATGGACTTTTAATTGGATGATGGGACAAAGCACACAAAGGGATTCAACCGACCAGATCAGTCAAACCGGATGGAGTTCTCAAGAGGACTCCTCTGTAACACTAGGCAAGGGTGGCTCTTCTTCTCCCCTAATGAGGAACTAGGTTGGCTCCTTTGACCAACAAGAGTACTCTTGATGAATAAGCAAGCAATAGGAGTGTAGCTCCTGCCTGAAAGAACAAACACCAGGGTTTTCTCCTCAACAACTCAAGAATGCTTGGCATTCTTGACATTTAAATTATGGAGAGAAAGACTCGCCAAGCTCTTCAAGAAATTACAAGGGACCCCTCAACTATAGGCTAATTACAATCAGCTTCCTCAGCTTCCAACTAATGGCAAACAACTCCCTGAACTTTCATCTAATTTCCTTCATTTTCAGAAGATGGGGTTTTGCCCCGGACCTTAAATTAAATAAAAATTCAAACAAAAAGTTCCTAACATTTACCTATTAGAATCAGTATGGGTATGAGTTTAATAGTATGTTGGAATGGGATGCAAATGGGTATACGCTTATTACAAATTTGTTGTATGGTTTTTCAGTTAGGTTTGGGTATCATTACCAGAAGTGATCTTTTGGTTTGTTAATCTTTAGGTATAAGAAAGTAACAAGTTCTTATTTTTATTTTTAATTTAATAATAATGTAGCAAATAATACTAATGATTCTTATTATCAATATCACTAATAATTATGGTAATACTAATAATAATAACAACAACAACAACATTATTGTTATCATCATCTAAACAACAACAATAATATTATTTTTATTTTTTATATCACTACTAATAGTAAGTATTATTGTTAATAAACCAAAGCAAACAAACCGAGTCAATCCCACATAGAGGTAGGATAGTAGTATTATTGTTAATATATTTTAACATTACTACTACTATTAACACCAACATTATTGTTAATGGTAAGAAGAAATTCATATTAATATTAAAAATATCATATTTACAATTAGTATTTCTAATAATGATAGTAATAAAAATATTTAGGAATCAAATTCGAGAATGGGTTTGAGAGATTCCCATATATTTGGGAATCATTCCCATTCCCCAAAACCAGATACACCATATTACCATCATTCCCATCCCCGCAAACAAAACATCCCAGAGTCTGCATTTTTAGCAACAGTGATCTAGCCTCCATGCTTGTAAAAACTAGCCACAAGATGTTTGTAACATCTATAGTCCTATCTGTCCTTGAACCATTTCTGTGTAATGTTGATGGTTGTTAAATGGTCTGAAAGGGACATGTCAACAAAACAGAGTTCTTACAACACAATCAATGGCGTTGATGACAAGTTCATTGTGGTTGACCCAGGCAGAGTTCTTTTTTTTAATTTTAAACTGGGATATCCAACCCGCTATGTGAGCTGACTAATCCCAGGGCGACCACCTGCTTTGCAGATAGCCCGGCGTCACCGCATTTGAACCTCCGTGGCCACAAGGGCATTTTTATTTCTCCTTGGATTTGAACCTGAGACCTCCTGGTACTTTTGACCTTTGGAGCCAAGCTCAAACCAATCAGGCACCACCCTTGTGGTTCCGGGCAGAGTTCTTGTGAACAAAGACAACAAGAAATGAACAGACACAAAACCAAATTTCTGAACTCCTGCATATGACTAGGTGATCCTAGCTACAGAGCAAAGCTCTCACATGGTTGTCAAAGTTGTAAGTCTAATAAACATAAACCTATTATAATTCAATCTTTTTAGCAAAAAATAAGAGACTTACCTTTGACAGGAATTGGTTCATTGAATTCCTTTCTGATTTACCTTTTCAGTGTGCATCATTGATACCCCTGCAGCAGTTAACAGTCTTTAGGTCTGCAATATGATCAGCCAAGTTACAAAGAAGAAACTATGTTCGGATCTCAGCTAATTTATGCTTTCTTTTCTTTTACATGCATTAATCTATGATGTAAAGCCACAGCTATACAATTAGGAGAGTTTTATACCATGAATCTTTTGTGCTAAAGAAGGTCAACTATGAAAAGACCACTTCTTGAACTCTTTGATTAAAATAGCCAATTTGACTTCAGATGTTCAAATCTACCTTTTATAATTAGATAAAATAGCATATGAAGATTGTTTCATGGAAGCCCTTCTTTTAGGTCCTCCAAGAGTCCCCTATTATGTTGTGCATGAAGATAGAAGCACAATTCCTTCTATAGAGTCCCACAAATTCTGTTGTTCCTTAATGTTACTTATGGGCACTTGCATGAAACTGCAACATATTTTGATCTGATTCCTATTTTGTTTAATGTACTTTCGAATCCTTCATTTTGGTACCTCATATATGATATCTTAAATATTTAGACCAAAGTACGTTTACACAAACTAGGAATAAGACCAAAATACATTGTATTTTTATGCATTCTCAGATGTAAACCAGGTGTTGGATGTTTGAGATTTCATATAAGCATCTTACACAAAATAGGAATCAAATCAAAATACCTTGCATGAAAATGCAATTTGCCCTATTGTTATTTGACATTTGGAATATCACATTCATCGATGCTTCTTTTTGCTCCAACATTTACTTTACGGTAGAATATTGTACTAATTGTATTGTTTTGCTTCAGGCGGGAATTTAAATTGGCAACAAAGCGTCCCTTCGTGGGAGAAAAAGTTTATTGCCTCATTTGGCTCGGTACCATGGAAGAAACTCGTGGAGACAAAGAAATTCATCCATTTGTACGATAACGTAATTAAATGGAATGACTCCGCAGGAAAAGAAGCATTCCAAAGCGCGAAAAACAAGTTTTACGCAAATATGCACGGTCTTCCCTCCGACAAGTATTTCCTTGACCCCGATATTTACATCGACAAAATTGATTGGAATTCCCAAGTAGACCCAAATCTGATTCTCGACTTAGAATCTGACTCCGTGGTTCCTGAATCCTGTTGCAACGACGAACCAGTCGTCATTTTTGGCACGAGTTTCCCGCCTTCGTATCAAAGCTTCTCGCCTTACGGATGGGGGGATAGCGATGATGACGACAAAAAGAAAGATCCTAATACATCACCTGAATACAATATTCATCAACGGGAAACCGAAGGAAACACGTGGGGTGTCGTTGATGACGGTAATAATTGGTGGGGGTCCAATGAAGATGACAAAACGGCCAATGGAGATCATGGCGGCGGCAATCGGAACGACCACTGGGGTTGGAATGTGTACGATAATAATAACTATTACTACGGTGATGTGAATAACGAGATGAGAAATGGGAGCGGGAGGTCGATGTCGAGGTATAAAACATCGAGGTTCCGTAGGGATGATAACCAACCACGGAGGAATAATGGAAATGGGAAGAAATCGAGTAGTGGTTGTAGACCGTGGAAGTGTGCACCGGTGAACCCCGGTTCGGCTGGGGGAGGTGCACACAGATGGAGCGTAAAGAAACCTGTTTCTTGATTTTAAGAGGGTGTGTTTTTTGCTCAATGACGTTCGTATCTGTTTTGGTGGAAAGTGCTGAGAGTAAAGTGAATATCTACGGGTTTTTGCGTAAGTTTCGAGTAATAATTTCTTAGACTAATTGCGGTAAAAGTTCTTTTTTTGATGGGTATCGCATGTTGTGTAAAACATCAATCTTGATAAATATAAATATAGTGGCGACAATTGTTATGGAAGTCTAAAATGGAATATAAAACATCAATCTTGTATATTTTTCCAACACTTTATTATATTTGCAAACATCTCAACTTAGGGGTGCTCATGGGTTGGGTTGAAGACATTTGAACAACCCAACTCAATGCTTACGGTTTGAAAAAATCATAATCCCAACCCAATCCAACCCAAACCAAAATGCAACCCAACCCAACTCGTACAGGTTGGTCGGGCTTATACTTTGGCATATTAAAATATTTTTCTAACCTTGAATATGTTATTTCTCTACTCATAATTTCCTTTTCATTATCAACCATTTGTTACAACTTATTCATATTTCTTACGTATATCACATTCAGTTAATTTTCTCAATTTACATATATATGTTCACAGTTACTGTAGGAGTTATATAGAGATATGAATAGATTGAAAATATGTGTATATGAAAAGCATACATGAATGTGTAATTGTCTAATGTATATATTAATAGAAATTCAACAATCATATTAAATCCAAGAAATAAAAGGATATCGGGTTCATTGGATTGAGTTGGGTTCAAATAATAGTAACTCAATATCAACCCAATACCTACGGTTTAACAATTTTACAACTCGATTAGACATCGGGTTGCTTCAGATTGAGTTATTTAACGTTGGATTGGGTTGGGTTGATTGAGTTGGTCGGGTTTTTTTGGCATCCCTGTCTCAACTCCCTGTATTAAGAAGTCAACGATTGAGACTTTGGGTCAAGAAGTTGACCAGATGTCGACTTTATAGTAACCTATTGACTTTTTGGTCAAATTTGTTATTGTAGAGGCAAACTCTCAATTTTGACCTCTTTTTGCGCCATCAAGATAACGTGTGAAGTCCGAAGTGAAAAGTTGAACATAAAATCCATTGAGAAAATTCTAATAAAATCCAATAAATTTTTGTGTTTGAAATTGTTAAATTATTGAATAATTTTTTGAAACAAATAAGTTTTTGGATATTCCAAAACCTATTAAAGAGATTCTTGGACTTTTAGAAACATGTTAAATATATCTTTTACATTCACCTTCATGTAAAAGCTTTTGGGCTACCGAGCAATGGTTCTTGGCAAGCTGTTGTTCACCATTCTAGATAACCTAAAGCCATCGTATACAGACGAGAGAAGTCAATTTGATTAAGTCGCTTGTGGATTGTAACGATGGGATTGAGACATGAGGGATCGTGGGAGAGTTTTACCTGCAATGTAGGTACAAGTTACATTTGTAACTAATAAGAATGTATTTAATAGGTTTCCAAAAGTCCAATGACTTATTTAACATGTTTTGAAATATCCATAAACTCATTTATTCCAAAAAATTGTCTAATGATTTAATCATTCCAAAAACTAAAGTTCATTAGATTTTTTTCTTGTACTTTTTCCTTACAATTTTGACCAGTATAAAAAGCATCTTTAACGGATTTTTTAAAATGGAGAAATTTGTTTCAACGGAGAAAATCGTGAAATTCTCCAAAAACTCTTTAAAGATGGTTATCTATAAAAGAGATATTATTTTTTATTCTTGCTACTAATGAGAATCTTTGAAATTAAATGTAAAAAAAATAAGAAATAATATTTTATAAAGAATATTAAATATTTTAATACTATAATTCATATGATAATCTTTAAAATGAAGAAGTTATTAAAAATATGTATATTTATCATACTCTAAAATCCCAACTTTGACGTATTTGACTTCATGAAGGTTTTTTTCCTTAAGTTTCACATGAAACAGAGCCATCTTCATACAATCTAAATATCAAATCAAAGGGAAACATGCCAACCATAACTTAGGGTCCGTTTACCAAACACTTATCCGGGTAAGTGCTTTTTAAGTCACATTACCTTACCGAATGAATATCGTAAGGACTAAGAATTTTACCCGGTAAGAGTGAGACAAGGACCATGAGTCTTACCCGGTAAGTGAGGGCGACGACTCTTACCACGGTAAACGCTTGCCGGGTGAATTGTTGCATATAATGTCGTTTTGATGGACTAAAATCTTACCCGATAAGTAAATAATAGTATTAAATTTTACCGATAAACACTCACCGGGTAACTGTTAAGTAAACTGCCCCTTAATAAAGAAAGATCGGCTACTACATCTACGTGTGTCAGTGTCACTCATCCTGCCAGCCATTCTTAATTCGCATAGCATGAAAAGAAGCGAGGGTGTAAATGATCAACGGATATATTTTAAATCTTTATTATCTTTAAATCCAACAATGACGATGATGTTCACAACAAAACTACTAGAAAAATTCTCCTTGCTACGGTCCTATCTCCTATTATTTTATTTTGGATCTACTGCGATAATTTTGTAACACCTATAATTCTAGACAACGGCCAGGACACGGTCGAGGAGCAGGGGAAAATGGTTGTGCAACGGTCTGAAACAGTCGGGCGGCCAACCTGGCAAGAGCCGGGCGACTTTGGCCAGACGACCTATGTGGCCCCAAAAGGCGTCCTAAACGCCCAACTCATTTTAAGCCTGATTTTGCGATGGTTTTTCATATTTCTTCTCCCCGTTCTAATTTCTCTTCTCCTTGAGCGATTTTGTAGCTAGAATATCGATTTTAGAGCATTTTAAGATAATTTTGAGTTGATTGAAGGAGTTTCATGATGGGTTTTAGCTTGGAACCTTCAATTTCTTGAGGATATAAGAATTGTGGGTATTTTGATATCTAAATTTGGGTTTTATTGTGAATCTAATATTATGGTTGATTTTGGTGCATCTCTAGACTTGGGTGGTGATTTGGGGAAAGGTTTTAGAAGAGTCCTTGCTTGTTGGACCTCAAGCCTTCATTTTGGAAACTAAAGATTTGGGTTTAAAACTTAGGTTTAACCTAATCTCGCAAGGTGAGTTCAAGTTGTTTTGTAAAAACTATGTACATATCAAAATTTGTACTTTGAAGTATTAAAGTGTTTTATTTGATATTTATAAAATGTATAGAGTATTTGACGAAATTTGCATATTTGATAAATTGGGTGGGTTAATAAATATTATAAAATGCCTATATTTGGGTTTTGGACATTTTGATATATATCTCTCAAGAATGTTGTCACACATTCAATTCTCGAAAGAACGATTAATTTAAAATTTTCATTAATACAAACAAATAAAAAGGTAAATCCCTTTTCTATAATACTTGAATTACCTCAAATATTAAATCTAAAAACAACATCAATAATTGATAAACCAAACCTTAGATGAAAACCAAGTTAAGATCGAGTGTCACTATAACCCAATAATTGTCGCTATCTCCAATTACGAAAGACGTCAACAAATAGCTAAGTTTTTCTTGTGCATATATCTAGCAGTTATCTCATCACGATATCACTAGTACCATTTCAAAACACCAAAGAGCTTTGCAAAAACGTTTACCGATATTATTCGAAATTACATCATCGTATTACATTTATTTCAAAATAAATATAAAAATCAAATCTTACAAGTCCTTTAAATAAAAGTGGAACGTAATACACATAAAAAGTGTGTAAACATATACATATACATATACATACATATACATATATATACACACATATATCACACATCACAAGGTTCAAGAAAATGCTGCAAATATCTCAGACCATCATCCACACCAACATATCTCCAACTCACAATACTCAACACCCCCACACTCACCCTCTCCACCACCCTCCTCCTCCCCTCCTCCCTCATCACCAACCTCATATCCGCCACCATCCCACTCGTCCCACCGCAGCTCGCCGCACAACAACACCCTGCCGCCGGCAGCTCCGTCGAGAACCACCCATCACTACCCGACACAAAACTCCCTTTCCCTTTACAATCCATCATCGTGAAAACACCTTCAAACCCTCTCAACACCACATTCCACGTCACGTTCGTCTCCTCCAACACCTCAAACCTCAGCCACTTTTCATGATCACGAACGTCGAAATCGAAACGAAACATGGATTTCGGGTCTGATGGTAGGGCGGTGCCGGGTTTTATCAGGGTCACTGGCGGCGACTTTGAGTTGTTTACTGTTATGATGAAGAGGAGGCTTTCTAGGGGAATTCGAGGCTTTTGCGGTGGTCGTTGGCGGCGCTTGGTGGAAGTGAGGCCGAGACCGAAGAGTCGGCGGTAGGGAAGGGGTGGGGAGTCGGCGAAACGGAGGTGGGAGAGGGAAGGGAAATGGGTGGTGCAGAGGTGTTCCCAGAGGTGGTCGGAGGACATGGCGGAGCTCCATGATTTGGAAACACATGAAGCTAAGGCTAGGGTTTTGGGATCAAGATTGTTGGCAACGATATCAAGAATTTGCCATGGAATCGTGGAAGCCGCCGCCGCTTGCGGCGGAGATGCGGTGGAAGGTGCCATGTGATGAAATTGAAAATCTTGAAGTATGGTGGTTTTGATGGTGGAGTAATTTATAGGGTTCGATTATGTGGATAAGATGGTGGCATATGGGGGTTGACACATGGTATGATGTTATTGTCTATGCATGTATTGTGCTAACACGTGTGCATGAACATGATTCAAGCCTACACGTATGAATCGAAATCGAACCCCAACGTTATTTCATGAATTATCTGAAAATATATTATTAATTAAATATTTAATTCATCATCTATACTATTTTATAAATTATTTGACAAAAAATTTTAAAAACCATTTTTTATGTATAAAGTATTATGTTACTTAAAACTCAAGATTATAAATAAATTATACGTAAATACAACTTATTAAAGCTTCATGACGTATAACTAACTGCAGATAAACATAATCAAATACATTGACCGATCAAATAGTGACGATTCTATATACCGTTTTATGGTTCCGTTATAGTGGAAAAAATATTACGTTCTTGAAGAATGTGTCACCATAACATTTTTTCTGTATGTCTCTATACTTCTTAAAATTACTATAAGATGAAAGTTTTGAGGTAGATCAATTGGTTTAAGACGCTTGATTAAATTTTCCGCTTCAAAAGAACATGGATTTGAAACCTACCGTTAGCATAAATTCCCTTTTCATCTTTTAATATTCTGTTTTTATATCTGAATCTCTGAATTTTTTTCGAAATACAAACAACTAATGCTATTAAAATTACGTTAAAATTTTGTACATACTCTTTTATGTAAAAAATATACCATATGCCCCTTAGAGGAAATATTTGATCGGACTATGTGGATGGTCGTCCTGTGATCAGTCGGCTTGAATATCTAGGTTAATTTAAAAAAAAGAATTTGATTGGGCCAAACTTCAAAGAAAATGGGCTACCATAAGAGAGAATCATGATTCTTTTAGAAATTGGACTTGTAAGTTTTTGTTATTGTAAATTTATAAATTTAGAGTGTTATTTGTGCAATGCAACAAGATATATTTTGATTTTAATATTTTATTTTATTTTTTGTCTCTGTCGATGTTAAAATATAATTTTATGTGTTTTTAAGAAAACAATAATTATTTTATTTTTAAATAAAATATAAATTTGAAAATATCATAAAATTTTGAATTTTTTTTTATCAATATTAATATCAAATCAACTATTTAAAAGTTCTCATTTTTATGTAATTTCTTTAATTTAATTTTTATTATAATTTAATTTAGGTTTAATAATGAAATAACTTATTTTTAGTTTAATGATATAACATTTTATAATATCAATAATTTTAGAATTCAATGATTATCCTAATTATATTTTATATTTTTTATATTTAAAATGAGATGTTTATCTTGTATTTGGTTATGTTTATCTGCAGTTAGTTACACAAATTCAGATATAAAACTTTAATAAGTTGTAGTTACGCACAATTTACTTGTAATCTTGAGTTTTAAATAACATACATTAATAAACAATACTTTATGCATAAAAAGTGGTTTTTAAGAGTTTTTGTTAAATTATTTATAACATAGTATAGATAAATCAGAATAAATTATTCGTGCATAATTATATTCAAATTTATATGTAAAAAAAATCGTATATGTAATATAATTAATAAATACTATAACCAAAATATCATTTACAGTCAAATAAACTAAATTATGTAAATATTAAAATTGAGGGACCATTTTGTAATAAAAATATTTCGATAACAAGGGTGGTGTCTGATTGATTTAAGTTTGGGCTTCAAAGATCAAAAGTGTCTGGAGGTCACAGATTTGAATCCGATGAGAAATAAAAATCCCCTCGACTCTCGGGCTTGAGTCTTAGTTGTTATATTGCTACTTTTAATAATAATAAGAAGTAATCATGGGCCACTTGATGCTCTTGGGCTTGAGATGTATTGGGCCGTTGTGACGAGAGTTGCATGTCACTTGGACTTGATACATGGTTCAGTGTCACAATTGCACTATCTTATCTAGTTGATACCGTATCAATTTGTACTTTTAGGTATTATTTCGTTTCCCTTCTTTTAGTATTATTGCTTGGTCATTCTTATGTTTTATGTGCACAATTTGGCTCATTTGGGACCATTCTATGCTGCTTATTATTTTCTTAGGCGCTTTTGTGGTTGATTCATGTAACTGTACTTGTCAGAATCGCTTTTGGTTTTCGAAAATTTGGTTACAAGTATAATTCACTCCCTTGATTGGGTTACTGATCTTTTTGAAGCATATAAATATTTATATACAGAAGATGTAACAATAAACTCAAAAACTCTTCTTACTTTGGCTGTGCTTTGAATCCCTGACCTCCAAGGATGCCAACGATCCAGATATTGTTAGACCAAATGCACGTTGGTTTGTATTAGAGATTTGTTGGAGTATGCATCTTCGATATCCCATCACAAACTATCCAATTACCGACATCTAGTTATGATTCTGTCTTGGATGTCATGTGTTTCTTCTTGTGAACCTTTTGGGATATCGAGTTTCCGTGTTGGAATCTCTCGACCATTGTGGACCCTTTTCTGACTTATCTCGATTGCCTACTTGCTTTCTCAGGATCGCGAACTGCGTCCAATAGGCTTTGAGTATTACTAATCTATTTTAGTACATTTTGTTTCAATCACCCTAATACCATTATACGTTACGAATGTTTATTAAAAAAATTGTAACAAGTAAACGATATGATGTTTTAAATAAAAAAAAATATTAATGAAAAGATATATGAATAAATAAGTAGATGAGTTATTGAACGGTCCATTAAAATATAAACACACGAGGTCCCACTATTACAAATCATATGCATGTTTTTTAAAACTCGGGTGGCATTTGGTTCCAATAACAATATACGAAACTATTTTATGATTATTAAAAAGCAAGGATAATTACAGATGTTTACATTATACTGTAAACAAAGAAGAAATCAACAAAATACAAAAATAAAAATGAAATTAAATATGGATTATTTTACGTGTATAGATTCATATATTTTGGAAAAACAGAACGTATTTTGTTTTATTTATTTATTTTAGAAAATTACTTTCAAAAACCCGATATTTGGAATGTATTATGTATTTAATTTAATAGAAAAAGGAGTTTTTTTTAATTAAATATTACAATATATTAAATACATTAAAATATAACTTTAAAGAATTGATTCTCAAAATAACAACTGATACAATGTACGTTTTATTTTAATCACTCTTACGGTTAAAAACACCGATTTGATTTTATTATTTGTATTTATATATGCATTCCCGTAGTGATGAGAGATCATGTGAGAATAAAATTTATCGTGAGATTATTTTGAGTTTTTGAGAAAGTTGTTTTTTTAATCTAACTTAATTTTTTTGAACTACTTTTAGGGGGTGTTTGGGATTGATTATTTGAAACAACTTATATTTTTCTACAAGAGCACTTGTCAACTTATTATAAGTCAGAAGGATTTAACTTTTTCAAAAACTTCTTATTATCGGTTTGACACTGGTATAAGTTGTTTATCAAAACACTCAAAAATGCTTATTATTGGTGTCACACCGAAATAAGTCAATAAGTTGTTTTTATAAGCAATCCAAAAAAAACACCCCCTTAGTACCTTCAATTAGATTCAACTACATTCATCTACCTTCATTTTCAAATTTATCTTCACTTTAAGTCATTTTCACGAACTTTTACATACATCTAATAGTTCCACACGCATTAATCTGTTAAAATTTTGTTCATATGAATTTTTTGTTTCTCATATTCTTATAAAAAAAATTATTCCTATCGAAATCCAACTTTGCTTGTAGTAATAAATTCCTATATTATTTCAAAAATAAGTAAGGGGCTGTTTACCCAAATGCTTACCCGGTAAGTGCTTACCTATAGTGGTCAACACTATAATTTATTTTGATGAGTAAGAATTTAGTACATCAAAACGTATTGAATGCAACAATTTACCGGGTAAGCGTTTATCTGGGTAAAAGTCGTAATCTTAACTTACCGGGTAATACTCTTCATCCTTCTCATTGCTCTTACCCGGTAAGATTCTTGGCCCTTGTCATGTTCATTCGATAAGGAAATTTATTCGATAAAAACTTATCAAATAAACGTTTAGTAAACGGTCCTTAAGTGTTCATTTAACTTAAAAAGTTTTAAGTTATTTAACAGAATTCCAAAACTATTTAGATAAATTCATAAAAACTATCTAATTTCGTTTATTTTAATTAAAAATGATGTTCGTTTAGTTACGAATAAATCGAACATTTTTATACGCATACATACAATTATAGTTACTTACTGACAGTATGACTCATAAGATTCAGTTTACTTGACTCGTTAAAAGGTTGGTTTGCACAACGATTCTTGAAACAATAGCCAGACTGTTAAAATTAGTAGACGGACTTGAGAGATTAAAAAAATATGGTGGAAGTGTCCATTCGACCGTTTTATATTTTTATAAATATTTAGTTTTTTATATATTTAATATTATTATTATTTTTTTATTAAAAAGTTAGAAGTTCTGTTGACGCGTTTTAGGTTGCGGGCCAAGTCGCTCGTACAACATTAGGCTCTTTCACGTGCATTATCACATGTGATAAGGGTATTCTTAATGTCATACTACAATCCATCACATGTGATACTAAATAAGAGATGCAAACGACCTTTGACGCGATTTAGGTTGCAGGACACATCGTCTACACACCACCAAGTCTCCTCACATGCATTACCACTTGTGAGAAGGGTGTTCTCTCGTTTTAGTAAAATGGAGATGTTCTCGTTTGAACCTCCACCTGAATACACACACAAAATGTATGATGTCATATAATACATCTCGAATCTCAACCTTGAAAAGGAAATGTATGTGCTTCATATTTTGAGAAAATGTTTTTTTTTCTTGAGCTATGTACATTGTTATGTAATTACAATTTATTTAAACTTGGAAAAAATGTATGTACTTTAAAAATATTGTACGTAACTTATAATTTTATATATGATGTCCCAAAAGTGCCTCTACCAGAAAA